CAGTGTCAAAATGGGTGTTGTAATCATACCCATCTCGTTGCCATGATGATACTATGAGCATCAGTCACTGAGGCAGCGTGTAGCTTGGTACCAAGCATCACAATAGGGGCTATCACAACTGTTGTTATTTTATTGAAAGCCTTCCCATTTTTATTAGAAATGGGCAGGAATAAAAATAAACAAATAGGTAGACAGACAGATAGATAGATGTGGACTCTGTGAATGTACTTTAAGAAATACTGTTTTTCTGCTTCTTTATTCAGAATATTCTAGGGGTTTTGTTTTGTTTTGTTTTTGTTAGTTGGTTTTGTTGTTTTTGAGACAGGATCTCAGTATGTAACCCTGGTTGGTGTGGAATTCTCTATGTAGAGCAGGTTAGCCTGGAATATGTGGCAATCCTTCTGCCTCCCCATTTTCAACTTTGTAGGATTTTTGTTTTGTTTTACTTTTTATAACTTTATTGGTTACTGCTATTTATTTCTTTACTTACTTAAATTCTTTCTTAATTTCCTTGTGGGGAAGCTTGTTGGGGAGATCACTCATTCTGAATAAGATTCCTGCCTCAAAAGCATGAAGACCCAAGTTCAGATCCCTAGAAGCCATATAAAAAACCCCAAGTGGTGGTGGTGGCACATGCCATACAAAAAAAACCCAATGTGGCAGACGGGAGTGGGGGGAGGGGAGTGGGGAGGGGTGAGAGCCCAATAATTAAAGTCAGTCTAGACAAATCAGTAAGCATTGTGTTATCTAGGGACCATATCTCAAAACATAAAAGTGGAGAGACATCGAGGAAAGATACCAACATCAACCTCTGGCTTCCATGCGCATACATGCACACGTGCACAAATCCACATTAGAGGGTATATATACCATACACCAAAAAAGTCTCTTTAGCCCCAGCATTATTTTTTTCTGGAATATTTTAAAGTAAGCCTAGAAATTCCCATTCCCCTCATAAACCCTTCAGCATGCATCCCTAACTATGGGATTGTTTTTAATAACCATGCCAATTAAAAGTAATCTGTTAGAATAATGAGATGCAATGTTTAAATCTCAATGCTAGTCTCAGAAATGCCATTTTACAATTGGTCTATTAGAATTAGAATCCAAAAAAAATATGGCATCTATCATGTTACATTGATACATTCATCTGTTGTGTCTTATTTATTTAATTTGTAGGGTTTAGCTCTCACTCTCTCTTTTTGTTTGTTTTTAATGGAGTGTCTGGTTTCAAACTGGCCTTAAACTGGGAACCCTTGGCCTTCCTATGTGTCACAAACTTGCTCCACAGCTCCTCCGTGTTGCCCTCATCCCACCCCAGGGTCTTGCTGTGTCTCCAGGCTGTCATCATTCTTATGACAATCCTCCTGCCTCGGCTGTCCAAATGCTGGGCTTACAAGGTATGAGCTACCACTTTGGGGTCTTTTGTCTCATTTCTTTATGACAGGAGTACCACATTATAGACATCATTCTTCATTTTGTTTCCTCATCTAAACAATGCACCTTGATGATCACTCTGTCATTAAATAAAGATGGAATTCTAGTTCTGAGTATTCCATCCTGTGGGCTTTAGTGATTATTTCCAACATTTCTTTCTTTCTTTCTTTCTTTTTTTTTTTTTTTTGGTTTTCCAAGACAGAGTTTCTCTGTGGCTTTAGAGACTGTCCTCGAACTAGTTCTTGTAGACCAGGCTGGTCTCGAACTCACAGAGATCCACCTGCCTCTGCCTCCCGAGTGCTGGGATTAAAGGTGTGCACCACCACTGCCCGGCTATTTTCAATATTTCTGACTGTATTTTTTCATGTTAGTACTGTGGGACACCTGTGATTACCCACATATTCAAGAAAAATTATTAGATCATATTCCCCCCCCCCAAATTGTTAAATCTAATAAAAGCAGAATGGAAATGGGAGACATAACAAACTCTCAAACACAGTAATTTGAATTCACAAGGTTTGAGAAAGAAAAAATGAACGCCAAAATATGATAGAGAGACTAAACTGAAATTATCAGTAACCTGCAATTTTATTGCTAAGTAAAAAAAGGGGGGGGCAGGCAGGGTGCGGTGCACATACCTGTAATCCCACACTCAGAGGTGGAGGCAGGAGGATCAGGAATTTATAGGCATCCTTGGCTACACAGTAAGTTCAAGTCCAGTCTACACTACATGGGACTTTCCCAGAACACCATATTGATAGATAAGTAAATAAGTAAAAGAATGAATGAAGGAACAGAAGCTACCATTTGTCTTAAGCCTGGAAAGAAGACTGAAGAGAAAGAGGAGCACGGGTAATGCAAGCCCAGGGAAACAGGAGGGGAAGGAAGAGGGTGAGGCAGTCGGGTGAGCCACTCGGAGCTGCCCTGAGGGTCTTGCTGCACAGCTGAGTGCCCCTGCCCACAGAGCTTCAGTTTGTGTTTTCTGTTTAGGGTGGGGCAGGCTCAGGATCTTCTTGCTGTCAATCAGCTTCCCACTGGCAGCTCTTCACCGCAGGGACGCAGTGACAGTGCGCATGCCTGCAGCAGGCAGGGCGGCCTCTAGGACATACACCAGTCTGCAGAAGGCCACAGCCTAGTCGATCTGAAGCATAAACTGCTATCATGCACAATTTGCCGGGAAATCATTTCAATCCCTGCCCTTGTTCAGAAATCTTTGGTAGCAAAATAAAAAACGATCGTTTTGGACACAGAGCTAGAAAACATCTTTAAAAGTCATCTGTTTTTCCTCAGACTTCAGCAAACCATGAATTATTTAATTTCTGAAAATTCTGAAGGATATTTTACAGTTTCACTTCCGTATTCCTCTCTAGTACATAAGCAGCGATTTAAACCTTTAAAAGCCATATATACTGCCGCTCCCCCCCCACACACAAACACACACATATACAGAGAGAAATTAAAACAACCAGATAGCCTATTCAAGCATGTTTGTAGGTTAACTACATAATACCTTCGGCCAACACAAATGCTGGTCATTTAAAAATTTTAAAACTTACTTGACATGGTAAGTCACTGTAATTCTGGCAATTGGAATTACTGAGGCAGGAGGCTTGCCACAAGTTGGAGGCTACTGTGAGCTACATACTGAGTGAGTTCCAGGCTAGCCAGGACTACAGAAGGAAATACTCTCCAACATACACCAATATGAAACTATCACAAGCTGGGCCTAGATCAAAGATTTATTATTTTGTGTTTTAGTAAGGTCTTTTTATGGAGTCCAGGCTGGCCTCAGACTCAGGATCCTAAGTGCTGTGTCACCACATCCAGCTAGGATATGATTTGTCTATGATAAAACCCATAATCTTCTTTGAGGGAAGAGTTATCGATTCTTTAATTTTTTAATATTTTAGTCTATTAGGTAAGTGTATGCCACGGTACACATATGGAACTCAAGGGACAATTTGCCAAGGTCAGTCCTCTCCTCCCATCTGCGGTGCCGATGCTGAACTCAATCAGCCGGCTTGGTGGTGGGGACATTTATCCAATGAACCATCTCACAGATCCCAAATGAGAGTTTCTGACACAATTTACTATAATGAATAAGTGAAAATGTATTACGATGATAAAGTAATCTCTCAGTAATGTCAGTCAAGTGTTTCACTGGTTTTGAGGTGGCACAGTGTTTACGCCTCATCTTTGTTCTGTGCGTCATTGGTCTCTCTTACTTTCCATCTCTCTTTTTAGAAGTCTCAGATTTTAGTGAGTCTTTAACAAGTCTACCCTTAGAACTTATGCAGCAATTTGTTTCTCCTTTTGTCTTGAAACATTGTAGCCCAGGCTGGCCTCTAAGTCATAACAAATTTCTTGTTTGTTTCCCAAGTGCTGAGAATACAGGCTTGGGTCCCCATACCTTACTTTCTTGTAGAAATTTTGAAATAAAACTTAAAATACATGCTCAAGATTAAATTCCATGAAATTTAAAATTTAATATCTGGAAGTTCAGATGTTAAACATCCATAATACTATTGTGATAATAGACATAGCTCTTTTTCTTAGAGGAATTTTAGCCTACATCCTGTAGTTGGCATATGACAATGGCAATAATGTTATGAGTCTCTCACAGAACAAAAGTTCTGCCCAAGATCACAGACTACAAAGCAGTTTGATCCAGCTGCCAGTGGGAAGCTGATTGACAGCAAGATATAGTATTTACATACACTAATATATATTTAATGGAAGGAATGGGGGAAATAGGAAGATACCTTATGCTCACATACACAGAAGAAACACTCTTCTGTTTCTTCTTTATTTGAGAAATAATCTTTCTCCATAGTCCAGGCTGGTCTTGAACTCACCATCCTCCTACTTCAGCCTACAAAGCACTAAGATTACAAGTGTGCACACACCCGGCTCCAACTCCTCTCTGCACCATCGATTCTCATTACTGCGGAGTATTACCATCATGGGTGTTTATTACATGGCATTTGAATAAATGAAGGAATGACTGCCCTGTCGGAATATGAGATGTGCTTTAACTTAAAGGCAGAGGTGCAGAAGGAATCTTCGCCTTCTTCCCATACTGTACTCTGTCATTTCTTTGACTCTAACAGTCGGTTAGATTGCAAATTTGCTCTAATGTTGGAAAATCAACCTGAGTCAGATTGCAGAAGTGGCTCACATCTACAATCCCAGAACTGGAGAAGCTGAGACAGGAGGATTACTTCGAGTTTAAGGATAGATGGGCTATTGTGGGAGACATTGCCTCAAATGAAAAAAAGAAAAAGAGTTTGAAAACCAAAAGGCTTTCGGATGAAAGCAAGGGACAAAAGACTCCTCAGTTGTCCCCTATAGTACCAGGAGAGCCCAAGAAACACGTTTATCAGTGCAAATTCCAAAAAAGCGAGTGTAGCCTCAGCACTGACTTGTGCCTGGAGTAAGAGCCTCCTTGTTTTCGGGTGTGCACACATGAACACCAGCCGCTGCGGTTTTGCTGCGTAGTTCCTTGCACTGATAAGCAAAAAACTGCTGAAGTCATGAGGCTGCTCCCGACAGAGCCCTCATGTGAGTCATACGAAAGCTCCACTCTGCTGACCTCTGGCAAAAAAGGGAGTGAATGAGGACAGGAGAGGCGGATGGGGAGAGGTTCAAGTGCGGGTTTTCCCTTGAACCTGGACTATTATGGGTCAGGAGCTGTGTGCAAAGAGGCTACAGCCAGGATGCAGTTGCTACCACCATTCGGAGAGAGGGGAGGCGCACAGCTGTCAGAGAAGCCAGCCTGGGAGCACCGAGGCTGCTGTGCTCGAGGTATTTGTATCCCGGGAGGAGCATCTTTCTTTATTGGTAAATCAAGCAATTCAGACAGCGCTCCCTTTTGTAGCAGGGTCTGATTTCTCTGCGGTAGGTCTAAACTCGTAAAAAGAAAATTCTATTAAAGTCACAGAGGATTTATGGCCGAAGTTATCAAGTTTTGGGGTGTGCTTGTAAACCAGGAGAGGGGAACAATTTTTGGCTTTGGTCTCTTTTGACTTGAAATAGAGAAAGTGGTTCTCCTCTGGCCATCTCCAAGCCACTAAATGCCAGGGCTGAACTGGAGAGGGCAAGCTGCCACACTGGTAGGTCTGCTGTGGATTCTCAGTAATTAGCTCATGATGATTAGCAGTGTCTTACTGGATCATTCTAGGCATTCCATTAAGGACACAGGAGCGTGGGTGGGCACGGGGGAGACTGAGTTAAACAGAGAGATCGGAAAATATCCATCAAGGAGACTGGGTGAAATTGCGCAGGTGAAGGAGAAATTTGGTATTTCAGCGAATGGTCTCTAAGGGATCTGATTTTCAGGAGAGGTACCTTTAGGGGGTGGAGGGAGCTTAGAAAAAAAATAAAACAAACGAACAGGCAAATAAAACAAAGCAAAGGTTTTGCCAGCCACCAAATTGAGTGTGTACTCGTACTTTCTTTTTCCTCTAGCTAACAGACATAAAAGGAGCAACTTGTTCCAAGTCTTCATTTCACCCCACGGGACTCCAGGCCCCTGGTGGCCAGAAGCTGGAGAGCAAAAGGCCACGGAGTAACAGTGACTCTTTTCAGGAAGAGAATCTGAGGCAGGGCTTGCCATGGGTGAGTGAGCCATTGACAGGCATCAAGAAGAATGCCATGGGTGTCTAGGGAAACTGGTCTCCACCTTCCAGGGATGCTTGTGTGGTCCCCCCCCCCATACACACAGGCTGTCTAATGTTCTTGGGGAAAAGACAAGTCAACATTATTTTTGAAGTGTCCTTTCTGTCTTCTTACCTCTCACGCTACCCCATAAGCAGAAGAAGAGCCTCCCTTTTGGGGCAGCCTCGTCTTATTTGAACTTGGAGAAGCTGGGTGAAGGTTCTTATGCTACAGTTTACAAGGGGATTAGCAGGTGAGTGATTTGTCAAACACTTTAGATGGGGGTGTCTCCTATTGCATTATAAATCCAGCCGAGGTACCACAGCCGCTCACAGTCTTTGGGACTGTGACAGGACATCTGGGCCAACAGGAAGGAGATGTGGTGATTTTAACATCCTTGAAAACAAAAACAAAAAAACCCCACAACACAGCTTCTTTTTTGGCTAAAATCAACCACTAAAGAGGGTTGACTTCCTTCTCTGTTGACCCAAAGAGCAATTACTACCTATAGAGAAACCCAGTAAGGTGTCTCTAGGGAGTTTTTCTTATCCCTTCCTAAATCTCAAAGTGTGGCATTGTAGTGTGAAATGTTTTTTTTTTTTTTACTCTTTTGGCTTTTCAAAGGGCCCAGCACCCAAATAAATACATTCTTAGTTATCAGTGTCTGCCCTTAGCTTGACTTGTTTCTTGCCAGCTTTTCTTAACCCAAATTATCCCATCTATCTTTGGCCTCGGGGCTTTTATCTTTCTTTATACCTGTATACCTTTTCTTTTCCTCTTACTCCATGTCGGGCTGTGTGACTGGGTGGCTGGCCCCTGGTGTCCTCCGTTCCTTATTCTCTTGATCCTTCCCTTCCTTAATTCTCCTTCTATTTATTCTCTCTGCTTGCCAGCCCTGCCTAACCTTGCTCCTGCCTCGATATTGGCCGTTCAGCTCTTTACTAGACCATCAGGTGTTTGAGACAGGCAAAGAATCACAGCTTCACAGAGTTAAACAAATGCAGCATAAACAAAAGTCACACATCTTAAAATGAGATTCCTCAATATGAGATATGCAAAAAACTATGTCCTATATTTTCTGCATCTGTAAAATATACAAAATGGCTGGGAAAAGAGAATGTTTATTCAAAACCCAGGTACTGGTTCTAAGATGGAATTCTGGTCTTTCTGGTTGCCTTCTAGTAAGTTACCCTTACTTTCTTACCAAAAGTTGGAAAACTTTATCCTTTAATATATGGTACTCCAGCCAGGCGTTGGTGGCGCATGCCTTTAATCCCAGCACTCGGGAGGCAGAGGCAGGCGGATCTCTGTGAGTTCGAGGCCAGCCTGGTCTACAAAGTGAGTTCCAGGACAGCCTCCAAAGCTACAGAGAAATCCTGTCTCGAAAAAACCAAAAAAAATATGGTACTCCAACAGAGAAAATGATGACTTAATGGTAGTCATATTTAAAAAAATATAAATATTATAAAACTAAGTATTTTTATTTAGAATTTGTATACCTATTGCTGTCTTGGTTAAAATAATAATATTAGGGAAATGCGATCTAAAATGCATTGTATAGAACCAGAATTTGATTCATGACCACGAATTATGCCAAGAACTAAAAATACAAAATATTTCCTTCAATGTACTCAGCTCAGTGTTAGGATAAAAGTGCATTAGAAATGCTTCGATGTGAGCTCACAGCCATATAAAAACCCAGGGGGAGCTACGCATTCTTATAGCCCCAGCACTGTGAGAAGAAGAAAGAGTGGAGACAGGAGGATTGGTGACGCCTGCTAGCCACAAGACTAGCTCCAAGTTCAGCAAGAGACCTCGCCACAAAAGAATAATGTATGTACCGCATCTAAGAAAGGAATCATATACTTCTAGGATTATATACATGCATGTGTATTTATATCACATAGGAGGGGGAGGGAGGTTTATAATATAGTAAATAAGAATAAGAACTGGCTTTAAACATACATGAAAGCTGGGCCAGGTAAATAGTCACTGTACTATGAGCTAATATGAAGAGAGACCCAGAGCTGAGGAGGAAGGAGGAGGAGGGAGGAGTGACGGTACCTACAGAACAACATGTATTCCACAGTCCTGTTTAAGGGAAAAAACAGTGCTCACGTGGATTGTAATGTACACAGAGGAGTCTGAGGACAAGAGATTTACTTTAGTGGTTGAAACTGGAGACTGCCATGAACACATGACATTTATGATGTAAAATCGCATCTTCAGGTACGGTGTGGTGGCCAATACCCGTAGTCCTATCTCTCAGAAGGCGGCGACAGGCCTATAGAAGGCCTGCGGGGCAGAGTGAGATCTTAGCTCAAAAAATCCTGTCTTAGATAGTCTAGACAATGCAAGAAGACTGAGACCGAAGATCATTTTTCAGATTGTAGCATGGTCTTTCTAGAAAGCCCAAGACAATCCACTTTAAATTATCAGACCTAGTAACACATGGCAATTGTCTGATCAATTACAAAGTCAATACAAGTTGCTTATGTATTAGAAAAAACTATTTAGGAAATACAGTAGAGAAAATAATTCTCACAGCAGCAACAAAATATAATTGTCAGTATTAAAATGAGCAGGACTCATGAAGACTTGCTATGACACACAGAAGACTTAAATCATACAGTTTGCTGTAATCGACTAGTATTTCTGTGCTGTGAATATTTATTATGTCCCATGCCATGGTTTATCTGTTAGGAATACTTTGGAGAACTAGAGACAAATCCTTCCACACTTGTGGAGTGAGGGAGGAGCACCAGACCATAGACAAACTAGAAAAATAGTGAATCAGAGGGGGCTGAGCATGAAGGGATGGAACGGGAAGTTCCGAGAGAAGACGCCATCAAGGCGATCACAACTTTAAAAAGAGCGAAAAGAAGAGGCTTCCCCAAGAAAGAAATGTTTGGACAGGGAACCTGAGGGAGGTGACAGGGCTAGATGTAGGGACACAGAGGGCAACTCAAAGCAGAGTTGGAAGGAGGTGATGGCTGGGAGGAGCTAGTGGGAGCGTGTGTACCGCGGTGGATTACAAGGTGCTTGCAGATACAGGACGGTTAGAACCTAAAACCATGGAGATGACATTGATTCTCTGACTTTGGCTTTTGATGTGTACTAACTAGAAGTGTTCCTTGAAATACTTAAGGAAGCGGTGATTAGACACCCGTGGCTCCCGGGAACCCAAATCCATGGATACTCAAATCACTTTCCAAAAAATGGCACAGTATTTGCATATAACCCAATACAATGAAAATGCTACGCAAATAGTTGGACATGGTATTATATAGGGAATGACATGAAAAAAGTCAATATACATTAAAATATTTTCAATCTGTGGTTGGTTGAATACACATACATGGTACCCACAGACACAGAGAGCTGCTTTTATAGCTTAAGCACAATTAAAATTGTGTAGCAAAGGTATAAATGATAGATCAAAGATATTTTTAAAAATCCAGGTCTTGATAATATAGCCCTGTTAACCTGGAATTCAGTATGTAGATTAGACTGATCTTGAGCTTGTAATCTTTCCTATCAGTAACTTAGTGCTAGGATTACAGCATGCACCACCACACCTGGCAGAAAAATGATTTTTAAAAGGTCTGGATATGTACAAATCTAAATGATTAGTAAAATTTAATAAATGAACATACTGACCTTTCAAGTCAGTAGGTAACAGAAAATCCTCCCCTATACAGCGCTAGGACAGTTAGCCTTTTTGAAAATTGAATGTAGAATAAGAATACAGTGGAGTAAAGATTTAAATGAACAAGAGAATACACAGTAACTGGATATAAGGTGAACTGGGCGCAGCCTTTGAGCTGGCGAGGTCTTTGAGCTGGTGAGGTCTGTGTGTGCATTTAACGTTTGACATACAGGAGTGTGGTGTTCACGGTGCCCATCTGTCCATCTGTGTTCCAGACAGCACTGACTCCAAGACACTTTAGCGAGTCACTGAAACACAGCTATAGTTAATCAATGCTGGCAACCCTAGACAAAAAATCAAGTTCTTTTACAATAAATGCCTTCAGCCTTTCAAAACTGCCTATTTACCACGATTATTGAAGAGCAGTGGAAATTCTGAAAGTGCAGAGCATTTCTAAACATATTTAACCAAAAAGGGTTTTTGAGGGTGAGTGGAATAGAATTTTACAGACTCATGATCTCAGTAAAATATTTTGGGAAATACTAAACATAAAAATTTCTTAAGTTCAAAACTTAAAAGACAAGTGAAAGCAAGTGGTAAAAATCTATGTAAGACATTCCTGTAAAAAGATGAGAGAAGGACAAAATAAACAGAAAAGGCTGGGAGAAATACAGTTCCAAAAGCAGAGAAATTAAAGCTAAAAAGCGATACACACATAGGACAGACTGTGAAGGTGAAAACAGAACTAAGCCAGCACTGATGAGGGGTTTGGCAGAGTGGCCTGGGCATAAACGGAAGAGTTTCCAAGGGGAAAATCTGCCAAAACCAAGGCACAAAATTAAATGGTATTGAATTATAGCCCAAAGAATAAAATATCTATGAATCTCTGCTGCACCAAATGAATGATTCAATAAATTAATAAATAAAACAGAAGAAATAAATCTCCATGCAAAAGAATTCCAGATATCTTACACAGATCTACTCTCTCAGAAGAGGATGTCAGCGGATCTATTCCCAAAGTGCAAGTTACACTTAGGGACGTCAATCCTAAAATAGGGGTGTGGGAGGTCACTTTACGGTAGACATTCTACAACTGCTACCTCAGACAGGCATTTACAATCAACATCAAAAGTCCCAAGTCATGACAAAGGAGAGCCCCTGTGACACAGTATGGTCAAGATGGCTCTTGACCTTCCCCTAATTCAGAATCCCAGTTTAATCTTAAGAGAAACTTCAGGAAAAAAAACTCAAGAAAGGAGCAGCACTCTACAAAGTTCTTAGCCAGTGCGCCTCAAAACTATCAAGGTCACCAAACACAAGGAAAATCTGGCAAATTGCACAGCCAAGAGGAGCCTAGGGAGGCACAACAGCTAACGGAGCCCTGGATAGCATCTTGGACAATAAGAAGGACATGAAACAAAAGCTGAAGAAATCCTAATGTGCTTTAATAGCAATGTATCAATATTGGTTCATTAATTATCATTATTTTACACTAGTTCAATGTTTTCTTTTGTTTTGTGGGGCAGATTCATGTATTTCACTTCTGGCTCAACTTCATATGTAGCTGAGGATAGCCTTGATCCTCCTATCTCTATCTCCCAAGTGCAGAATTACAGGTGTGGTTCACTGTATCCAGTTTGGTTCATCAGTTGTTACAGTTATGCCTTACTAAGAGTCAACAGTAGAAGAAACAGAGTGCAGGGATATGGGGACTTTTTATACTATCTTCTCAGTTTTTCTAGATTTCTAAAATTGTTCTTTAAAATTGAAATTTAAAGCAAAAAATCAAATCAAATGAAAAATTATGATGATCATTTCTGTGCCTAAATCTTTTCCCATAGCCCCCATTATTTCCTTAAGGGAAACAGTCTCACACTAGCCCAAGCTAGTCTCTGAAACTCACCACATAACCCAGTCTGACCTTGTGGCAACCTTCCTCCTACCTCAGCCTCTCAAGGGCTAGGGTTACAACAGGAGCCACCAAGCCCATCACAGTATTCTTAAAATAACCCAAACTGCAAGTTATAGGAATTTGGAATTGGCAGAACACACTGTGGTACGATAAGATATAGCATTATTAAATATCACAGTGTATAAGAGTGAATGATAAAACCAGGCATGGTGGCTTATGCTTGTTACCCCAGCACTTGAAAAGTCAAGGCAAGAGGATCATTATGAGTTCAAGACCAACTTGTCTTGAAAAGATCATGAATGGTAAGAGAAAATGTGAAACCCAGAGGGAACAGATTATTGACAGTGGATCTCACTGTATTAGAAACAACAAGGTCGGGGGAAAAATCTTCTTGACTCTCTATACTTACTTAATATAACAAAAAAATAATTGTAAATAAATGAATGGAAAGTAGAGGGAGGGAGGGAGAGAATGGTGAGACCTAGGTAAATCAGGGAGTACTTTGGAGAATACTGCAAGTCACTGACTTTTAGCAGGCTCTTTCAGGAGAATTGAAAGCTGGATGTCAGCCTAGGCTACATTGCAAGACCCCATCTCAACAAAACAAAACAAATAACCACATTTCCCTACCCTCCACACACACACACAAATAAATAACAAAATAAACAACAAAAAGAAAAAGAATTCGGCTGTTATCCAAAATGAAATGTTTGTATACTAGGACGTATTGTGAAGGAACTCCTTTGTCCTAGCTTCTTCATTCAAGCTGTTGCCTTGAACCATCTCAGTATGTGTGTCTGCCCTGCCCCTTTCTAGGATAAATGGACAACTAGTAGCTCTAAAGGTGATCAGCATGAACGCTGAGGAGGGTGTGCCTTTCACAGCCATCCGGGAAGGTAAGACCAGGACCCCAGAGGTTGTTTTGATTACGTTATGGTGTAAAAACATTGTAAAGGATTCAGTCTGCTCACTCAGATGTGGTCTCTGGTGTTTCTATAAGTGATACTATAATTTCAAATTTTGATTTTGTTGCCAATTTCCCAAGATTATTTTCACTATTATTTTAGTATTTGTTCTTGAAGACAAAAGTTCAAAACTGCTGCCCATATTATGACCTCTATGAGCGTTTACTAAATGTCTTATGAATGTTTGGGTTCATGCTAAAACCATGTCTCTACAACCCACAAAGATTCGTTCAAAAGAGAGAGAGAGAAATGAGCATTTACTAAATGTTTTCCGTATGTTTGGGTTCAAGCTAAAACCAAGTCTATACAACCCACAGAGATTCGTTCAAAAGCGAGAGAAGTGTGACATCATAGTAATTCTTGGTGTGGGGCAGGGGGCTGGGGGAGGGAGTTCCCCTGATGGTAGCATGCTTTCTTGTTTTGTTTTTGTTTTCTTGAAGTGTTTAGAGATTGAACAAAGGGTTCAACACACACATGCAAGCAAGCAAGCAAGCAAGCAAGCGCGCGCGCGCGCGCACACACACACACACACACACACACACACACACACACTTTTTTTTTTTAAAACAGGGTCGCACTAAGTTCCCCAGGCAGGTCTTGAACTTGCAACACTTCTGCTTCAGCTTCCAGGATAGATGGCATGTTCTTTCTCTCCCTTCATTTCCCTCTGGAACTGTCTGTTTTGTTTGTTTGTTAAAAGTGAGACAAGATCTCACTAATTTGCCTAAGCCAACTCCAAACTTTCTATGTAGCCCACTCTGGCCTCAAATTTGCAGTCCCCCTGCCTCCACCTGCCAAGAGCAGGCATTGCAGGTGTGCCTTGACAAACCTAGCTTCCTGTGTTCTCTTTGCTCCCTGGGCAGCATGGTTAGGAGGTGAATAGATTGGAGTTTGTATCATCTGGTTGCTAGGCACTAATGATGTGATTCCAGGTCCATTGCCTCTCTAATACTGGGTTTGCAGCGGAAGTGGCCAACAACAGGACATGTTTCATGGAGCTGTTACAAAGAGCAAATGAGAATACGTGCCAGGGTTCAATGAATAGTCACTGCTATTGTTTTATTCTTGAATTTTATTTTATCACTTTTTAACTACTTATCAATGAGAAGATTTATACAACAATGTTTAATGTTAATAATTTATAAACTCAATTTATCAACATTCCACCTAAGGTTTCTGTTTGTTTGTTTGAGGCAGTGTCTTGTAGAGTCGGGACTGGCCCCAAACTCATTGTGTAACCAAGAATGGCTTTGAGCTCTTGTTCCCCCTGCCTATGCCTCTAAGGGCTACTTACAGTTGTACCACTCAGTTTTATACTTCCTGCTGGGAATCAAATCTTGGGCCTCAAGCATGCTAGGATATTGGTTACTTTTCTATTGTGGTAATAAAATACCACGACCAAAGGCAACTTAAGGAAGGAAGAGTTTATCTGGCTTACAGTTACAAAGAGATAAGAGTCCATCCTGTGGGGAGGGGGCATGTGGGGAGAGGACATGTTGGGAGAGCAGAGCAGCAAGCTATGGTAGAAGGAACAGGAAGCTAAGAGAAGGCACCTTCAAAAACACACGCACGCACACCGAACAGAAGAGCAAACCGGAAGTGGGAGATGTTGTGAGCTCGCAAACCAGAGCCTTCAGTGATGTGCTTCCTCCAGCAAAACTGCACTGTCCCCAAACTAAGAACCAAGTACTCAAATAGTCAAGCCTATGGGATACATTTCTCTTTCAAACAACCACACTAGGCAAACATTCTTGTCAACTGAGCTACACCCACTCCTCATGTGAGCCATTTGAATGATGGCTATTGGTCTCTGAAAGAAATCCTAGAAATGGCCCTTCCTCAGCCTTACATTTTTCCTCTTAGCTTTGTGTCTTCCCTTCTTTACTGAGTATAGACTAGATGGATGCAAAGGATAGTGCTGACTGTTTGAAAAATGAGCAGAGAAAGCCCCATTCTCCATTCTGCTGTTCTTAGTCTTAACAGAGCAGATAATTCAAATATTGAGTGTATAGAGTCTGTTGTAAGCACAGATAAGACTGAATCAGTCTCAGCATGGCTAATGGAGGCATATTTTGGACTGAACTTAGAAATAGGTTATGCAAACAGGCATAAAAAAACAATTCAGAAAATGAGTTTATAACTCAATTTGATGCCATTTTCAAAAGCCTCTGATGCCCCTGGGAAACATTTTAAATTTAAGTAGAAAGGCCAGGATGCTATCAGTTTAAGTGGGGACTCATTCTGATAGGATCAGGTGCAATTTGGGGAACACGTAATTTAAGTGTTTTACATGATGGAAGCTGCACTCACTGGTATACGTAATAGTGGTCCAAATGAGAGGATGATTGCATTTGGAGACAGAGGTGTGGAGAGGTGAAAGAGGATTTCTGAACACATGGAAACCTCCAGGGCTCTCTACGTCGAGGCTCTCTCCCACCATTCTCTGGACATTGCCTTTTGTGACCTTGAGTGCTCTGATTGCTCACAATGGGCTTTCTCCTATTTTCCCCGTAGCTTGGGTTCTCCCAGTCCACACATCTGGCAGTCACAGTGAAACCTTTTTGCAGCAGGTTTTGCTAGCAGATGTTCTCAGCCTGGCTAATCCCCCCCCGTGTGTATTGTTCTGTATGCACAACCATTCCGCCATTGCTTTACCGCCTGCCGCCTCCCACACAGGTGTTCACAATTACAGCTAGGGCTCCTCGGTGGACTTCTTGGTTTGTTTTATGGACTGCCCCTTACTGAAGGCTTTGCTTGTGTGATACGAAAAACCGTGAAAGGATTTTGACACATCGGAGGTGGTTTGACTCCCAGTTTCCAACAACGGCTGCTTCTTTTTCCTTCAGTGTCGAAACTTGCAGCCTTGAAGACAAGGCCCTACTTAAGAACTTTGGCACTGGCTCATTTTTCCCTGGGTGAGATCTCAATGGATGTGAGACCAGAGAGACTGAGGTTAAATGGGGAGGGCTAGAAAGCAAGATAAGAACAGCTGGAGTTCATTAGTTAAAATCAAGGGTCATTAGCTAAAAAGGCAACCAAAAGCCATGTGCAGAAAAAACTAACAGCCTTCTTTCCAAACCCTGGAAGAATTCTGTTCCTGAGCAGCAGTCTGCTTGCTCTAAAGGTGTGGCAACCTGGAATTATTGAGTAGAATTTTGCTACATGGACAGCCTCTCAATAGGTAGAATTCATGTTTGTACTCATGTGCTCTTCATATTCAATATGAAATTAACAATAGTCTGAACAGCACTAAGGGAACATTTTAATAAACCTGCATGCATCCTTCAGTCCACTTAACACCTTTAGAGATATTATATGACACGGACAACAGTCAAGCCAAATTTAATTCAAACAAACACTCGTAACTTTATGTATATTCATGTTACAATACGTACTGAGTGCCTGAGATGACCAGGCACTCTGTTGACTTCCGGATACACAACAGCACACAAGCAAGTCCCTACTATCCTCACTTGTTCTCCCTGTGCTATTGAGGATCAAAGCCAAGGCCTCACTTTGCCCAGCCCTCTTTTTCATTTTTTTTATTTTGAGACAGCATCTCACTGAGTTGCCCAGGCTGGCCTTGAACTCATCTTGTAGGCCAGGTCTTGATCTCCTGAGGTAGGTGGGAATCCAGGCCCATGGCATACTACCTTCATCTTTTTGCTAGTTAAAAGATGAAAGAGCTGAATATGGCAATACATACTCATAATCTCAGCACTCAGGAGGCAGAGGCAAGAGGATCACTGTAAGTTCAAGGCCAGTATAGTCTGCATATCCACTTCTAGGCAAACCAGGGCTATGTGGTGAATCCCTGTCTCAAATAAAACAATATGGAAAAACAAAAGATAAAAGACTGGAGGCTTTTGTAGTAACTTAGAGTCTTTTATTACTGGCTCAGAATCACATTTCAAATGTTTACTTTTATAAGTAAGAGACAGTGCTTTGAGTAGGCTGTCTTTATGGGTTTTATATGAATGTGCCGCAGTTTTACTGAATTCTGTATCAGCATCCTAAGAACGGATCTTATTTTAAAGACCTTTCTAGAAACAGACAACTATGGTTTGAACCTGTCTCAAGTGTTTTTTTAAATTTTTATTAAATAATTTTTTCATTTATTTTACATCCCAACTATAGTTTCCCCTCCCTCCTCTCCTCCCTTCCCTGTACATCGCCCCCATCCACACGTCCTTTGATTCTGTTTAGAAAGGGACATGCCACCCATGGGTGTCAACAAAACATGGCATATCAGCAGGACTAAGTTCCTCCCCTTGTATTAAGGCTGGGTGAAGCCACCCAGTATGGGGAATAGGTTCCCAAAAGCAAGCTCAAATGCTAGGAACAGACCCTGTTTCCACTGCTCGGGATTCCACAAATACACCAAGATATACAACTTTCACACATATGTAAAAGTGTGAAAAAGAGGGCCTAGGTCAGTCTCATGCAGTATCATGCAGGCACTCTAGCAGGCACTCGGTCCAGAGTCTGTGAGCTCCTAGGAGGCCATGTTAATTTTTCTGTGGGTTCCCTTGTGATGACCTTGACCTCCCTGTTCGTATACTCTTTCCTCCCTCTCCTCAACAGGATTCCCAGTGCTCTGCCCAATGCTTGCCTGTGGATCTCTGCATCTGCTTCCATCAGTTACTAGACAATTAGGGTAGTCACCAACCTGATTGCAGGAGGTGGTCAGTTCAGGCACTCTCTCCATTTTTACTAGGAGTCTTAGCTGGGTCATCCTTGTGGATTCTTGGGAGTTTCCCTAGCATCAGGTTTCTCCCTGACCCCAAAATGCCCCCCATAAAGATATGGAATGCTTCACAAATGTGTCATTCTTGCACAGGGCCACGCTAATCTTCTCTGTATCACTCCAATTTTACTATATATGCTGCTGAATGTAGCGCTACAGTGTTTCTTAAGGAATAAGTCTTTTCTGAGAACCAGGAATGTGACATGCCTCCCTCTACCTTAGTTTTTGTCAACCCCTTATACAACACCAGGCAGTACAATACTCTGTTGTTGTGGAAATGAAGGAGTCTGAGCCCCACAGAGGCTGGGTAACTTGTCTGAGGTCACAACATTCTTCGGTGTTAGAATTAATGTCTATTACATTTAAATTCGCTCCACTACATAAAACTGCAAATGCTTGCTTGACTGAAGCATCTCCTTCAGCAAGAGGAAGGTGGAAAACAGAACTCTGTTCTATAATGTTCTCTGGGTAAAAATCAAGGCAAATTTAGAAGTTAAGACCTCAGAAAATAATCCGATAGTGTGTGATCAGCAATTCTTCAGTTTATCCTACAGAACTGGCAATTTCAGCATTTAAATTAGAAACAGTTGCAGCTAAAAACCCTTTGAGATCACTGTAGAATAATTCTAATCTATTTGTGAGAAAATTCACCCAAAAGAGGTTCAGGAGCCTTGCTGGGGGTCATCTGATAAGATCAGCAAAGAATCTGATTAGAATCTCAAGTCAACTATCACCACAGATGGATGAGGGTCCCCCTGGCTGACAGGAATTTTACCTCAAATATAACCTGATCTCATCAAGGACATAACATATTCATTGCATAGTTACAGCCTTCTGAGAAATAACCCCAGGGTAATGGCATATGGGAGGGATTTTTTTAACTTTAAAATTATTATTATTGTGTGTGTGTGTGTGAGGGTGTGAGTGTGCGAGTGCATGCATGTATGCTCACGCACACTCAAAGCTGTGCCATGATGCCTGTGTGGAGGCCAGGAGACAACTTTGGGCAGTCACTTTTCTTCTACCTTTACATGGATTCCAGGGATTGAATCAGACTTGTGCGGCAAGCACCCTTACCCACTGAGCCATCTATCTCACTGGTCTTAAAAGAGTTGTACTAGCATATATTAACTCTACACAACAATGGGTCTCGTTGTGACGTTTTTATATTGATCATATTCACCCCATTAGAATTGTTTTGTTTTGCTTTGTGTGTTAGTACTGGAAATGCAAAGTCATGGGTGGAGTCAGTCTGTATCCTCAAGTAGCCTATAGCTGTGAGAGAGCCTTGGTTACCGGGATATACAGACATACTCTAAGACTGGGAGACAGACTTGTTCTACCTGTGACTGTTACCATTCACATCTTCTCCTAAACTAAATAGATTAATGTAGAATAATATCTTTATATCATGAACCACTGTGCTGGCAAAACATCAGTTTTCCTAAAAAAAATAAATCACTCAACTATAGATCATAATGAAATAAAGAAAACCAATAATGTAAGTATTCATATGCCACTGTGAGATAGAAATATTTCCCTGAATTATTAAATATCTCACATCATAGTATATCTAAATGTTTAACTACTTTTTATACTGAATAAAAGGTCTTTGTTGACCATTTTCCTTTGGATTAAGTTGTTTTATTCATGCTTCTTATTTGATTTTCTGGTGTTTTTATGACCAAACCAAGTTAATGTATATGAAACTCTTGCAGCAATGCCTGGTATATCTTAAATAATCTAGGAGTGCTAGCATCATCATCATCATTGTTACCATCATCGTCATCACATTATTTTAGGAGCAGGATACAGTTCAGTGGAAGACCCACTCAAGGGTCTGGGATGATCTCCAGCATCCTAGTAACCAAAAAAAAAAATCAGAGAAGCCCCACTCTGACTCTTCTAGAGTTCTAATTTATCTCAGTGTCTTTCCTTTGAAGAAAAACAGAAGTATTTTGACATAAGGGACAGTTTGTTTTACTTTGAGGCAGGGTTTTAGGTAGCCTAAGCTGTCCTTGATCTTACTATATAGCTGAGGGTGACTTTGAACTCCTGATCCTCCAACCTGATTACATCTTCTAAGTACTGGGATTACAAGCATGAATCACCATATCCCTCTTAACACTTGACAGCTGTGAAATTCACAGAATCAGCATGCCAGTTCCAGTATCATTCCCTCTTTCTCAGTTGACTTTTGTATTCTTAAGTCTTCGGACTAGATCCCACATCCTACTGTAATTACTACAGAGTCCTCAAAAGTAGAAGAAAGAAAGGCTTTCCTCCCCAAGTTTCCTTCCCATACTTACCCGGAGGCCAGGGCATGTTAGACCCTCTGGTGTATGGACCCAATCACATACCATCAATTCCTGAGCTACAGACTTAAACCATCTCCTGCTTTTCATGCAAATCCCCTATTAGTTACTCAGTAAAATTCCAATCCCATATGGCTTTTTCAGTATCCCGGGGCATTGGAAAAGCAGTGGTAAAAGGACTTTTCATCTAGGTGAGGAGGTGCCTGAAAGGAGCAAGGAACAAAGCATCTTCAACAGAAACACTGGTGTCCAACGCCACACATATGAACGATACTGTAGAAGGCGTCATCACAGATTCAACAGTAAGCAGCATTCCAGGCATAGTTATAATGAGCATCAAAGAGTCAATAAGCAGAAAAGGCCAGAGTGGCTGTTCTCTGTGAAGCTTATGCTCATACGGGGAGACTGACAACAAGCAAAGTCGTGTGTGTGTGTGTGTGTGTGTGTGTGTGTGTGTGTGTGTGTGTGTGTGTGTGTGTCTGATGACAGGCAGCAGTGAGTGCTGTGGAGAAGACTAAAGCAGGATGAGGTATAGAGAGACTCCCTGGGATGAGAGAGGTGGAGGCTGTGATTTCATCAGCAGTGGTCCAAGGAAGCCAATATTTTACATATACTGTTTGAGCAGAGTCCTAAAGAGAGGGAGGGAGAAGCATGCAAAGAGGAGAGAAAAGAATTGTGAGTGGAAGCAATGATAGTCACAAGGAGGGGGTGGGGTGGTATTGGAAAATGCAAGTGTTGAGGAACAGTTAAGAGGCCACCGTGGTCAGAGTCAGAGGGTGACTGAGAACGGTAGGAGACAAGCAGTAATGAACGGGATGGGGGGGGGTGGAGAGTGGGCAGGTCATTGCAAGTCCTTTGGCTTTTTCTGAGTGAGCTGGGAGGTCACTATGGTGGCCAGGAATCAGAAGGGATTTGCTTTGACTTTTACTGAAAAGAATCACAGGTTCAGACTGGTCCAGTAGGAAGAGGCAGCAGGACAGACGAATGGGGAGACTACTGGGTGCCTTTGCAGCAGTTCAGCAAAGTATGAGCATGGCCTGGCCCAGGAGGACAGTCAACAGCATGGAAAGAAGTGAGGGCCCTCAATATCTTGCAGATTTTCAGATGGGTATTGAGGGCGTGAAAAACTAAGCTGAGAGCAACAGCTGTTTGCAAGAGTCCTAAACCTACGTAGAAGAGCGAATGGCTTTAATTTCTGCAAAGGTATTGTGAACTGAAGCTAAGATCGAAGTACAACTAAGTTCACAAATGACAAAGGGGCCCTTTCCCCATGGCTGAAAATGGAGATTATTGAGAAAACTACAGAAGTAAAGCTGCAAGCCTCATTCAAGCGTGTGCAGTCTTTGAGCATCTTAGCAAATGATAGGGTTTTTGTTTTTTGTTTTTTGTTTTTTGCAAATGATAGTTTTGAAGCCGTGGTAATTAATAAAACATGTCACCATGATTTTTAAAGTAAGCCTGAGGAATTTTAGTGATATAGCTATGTAAGAACAAAGTTACATCAAAAGTGAAATTAAAACTGGGTGTGTTAACAGTTACCTACCATCTGAAATCTTGGGAGACTGAGGCAGGAGAATCATTGCAAGCCTGAGGCCAGCCTGACCTACACAGTGAATTCCAGGACAGGCAGGGATACATAGAGACCTGATCTAAAAATAAATATATAAATGGAAAATTAACTAATTAAAATATTTTAATTTTCTTAGTAATTTGTTTTTCCACATCCTTTGGCGAAGGGTTCTAATTTTGTGTGTAGTGTTAAGGATGGAATCCAAGGCCTTGCACTGAGCTATACTTCCATCCCCACAAATCTGATTTTGATGTAGACACTTTGTCCTGTATATATGTGTATGTAGAGAAACAGAATATTCTGAAATTATTCATAAATAAAATGCAAGTGTTCTTAACAGATGGCCAGAAGTCATTGCTACAGATCTGGGAGGTATTAGAAACTCTAATGGAAACACACCTAAAATCAGACTTTATAACCCGGAGTGGGGTTTTAATGGACTCTAGGTAAAAGGGAGAATGGGAAGCTGGTGTGAAGATATTAACTGTAATTTGCATCTCTTTAACACTTGCCACTTAGCAAGGGTTTTAGGAATGAGGTCTGAGTCTATTCACAACCCTGTGAAATTAAGTCAGGAAAGATGGTATCTCCCTCTATAAGGTGGTAAGTTCTTCAAAGCTCACTGGAAGAGAAAGTGACAGAGCCAGGATTCATGGGCGGGCTCCTGGCTCCACAGCAGCCCTCTCTCAAGATGGTATAGATACTTGATAAATTAAGTGCTTATTCTTGGCTAAGTGGCAAGCTGACTATTGTACAAGATGATGTGATGGCATCCAAAAGACAGAGAAAGTCACTCTGTTCCTGGGCAGACATTGGTCTGGGCCTAGAGAGATTAAACAGAGGCTGTGAAATTGATCCTCATATCTACTGTTAAAATGTATTCACTGTTAAAAGTGAAATAATAAATGTAGTCCATAAGGACCCTGTGGGCACAGGGAAGGCGGGCTTTTCTGAGCCTGAGGGGCTTTGCCTGTCTCTGAACCAATTATCACAGAGACCAGGCAGAGACTGTGCAGTGTCTAGTCATGGACATTTCGAGGTCATATTGCCACTCTTGTGTAAAGGCAGGGTAGCTCAACTAGAAGGAAATGGATTAAGGAGAGCATTAGCTTTCTAAGGAAAACTGTAACAGAGTTCCCACTAGATGGAAGACTGACCATTGGGAGGCAAATACAATAAGAAGCACAACAAGACAGGGAATCGGGGTGTTCTCAGATTGCAGAACACACTTAGTTTATTTGGGTACAATTGGGTGTGTGGAGGCCAGGCATTGGTGTTGGGTGTCTTCCTCAATGGATTCTCCACCTAATTTGTTGCCAGGAGCTTTCACTGAACCTGGAGCCCAGTGATTACTAGGTGGGCCCATGAGCCCTGGGATCATTTGGGTCAGCCCCACCCCCCCAGTGCTGGGATTACAGGCCTGCCCTGCCACACACACTTTCCAGCTTCTCCTGGTGGTTCCCGGGATCCAAACTCAGGTGCGCATGCTCCTGCAACAGGCACTCACCCACGGAGCCATCAATTAATTAATTAAAATAAGTAAAAAATAAGTAAATAGCTGCTTTTAGAAAGCTACCAGTGACCTGTTACTGACTGGCAGGAGACAACTGTCAGCACACCTTAAGCTCAGTACTCTCTTTTAAGTTTGCATTTCCACAGGGGGCATTTGCAATATTCCCTCAAGAGGCTCTTCTGTAACCAGAGGCCTCGAACCAGACCAATGACTCTGCAATGAACACTTGCAAGTAAAGATACGTGAACACAAGGGTTTACTGTGTGACTCACCACGTCATACAAATGCTTCCATGATGAGAATGATTTTTCCTTTTTTCTTTTTTTCCCTTAGATTTTATTTTATTTGGGTCTGTTGCAAGGGCAGAGGGTGGAGATGAAGGGAGGGGAAGTAAATGGGATCAAGATGCATGATGTGATGGACACAAAGAATAAATAAAAAGAAGGAGAGAAGGAGAGGAAGCAACCCTTGTGTGCCATGTAGGTTAACACCATTCTCTACCCCCCACATCCTGTCCTTGCCTCCCAGCAACCACATCTATCAGCCTCGTTGGCCTCTGGCTGGACTTTGCCTTTTAGCTCCTGGCTACTTATTGCAAACTCCTGCTCTAAGAGGTGGGACAGCCAGTTTCCTGCATCTCTAATGGCCTGTGTGTCTCAGAGAGCAGGCTCCTACAGCTGTGCGTCTGGAATGGTGAGAATCCCAGAGGAGAGCCTCACAAAGTGCTTGGAGGAAATTGATTAGCTAGATGGAAGCTCTGTTTGCAACCATTTAGCCTGTCAGAAAAGGCAACTGTAGAAAGGTCGTGGTTCACCATTTTTAAAACAATAAAAGTCCTTTATCATTTCAAGTAGTCTTCCAGAAGAGACTCATTCCCAGCAGTAAAAACCCAAGACTGCTTGATTTGAAATGCTTAAAAAAAATAATAAAGATCGCTTAGATTAAAAGGAGCACTCTCGTTATTGGTGACTGATGTAACATCTTGTTTGTTCAAATCTTTCTAGCCTCCCTCCTGAAGGGTTTGAAGCATGCCAACATTGTCCTCTTGCACGACATTGTGCACACCAAAGAGACTCTGACATTCGTATTTGAGTACATGGTGAGTTCTCCAGACTTCTGCAGCACGTGGGGGGAAAGCCCAGTGCTTGTATAATGAACCTGTTAATATTTCATAGCACGATAAAACTTTCATTATGATGTGGAAGGTATGAAGGGTTGTTGATGTGCTGAGCGGGGCCTTGCTGCTCTGGCCGGCAGTTAGTCATACTTCTTTACCTGTCCGGTCCCCCTTGCCACCAGTAATAAACTAGGATTTTGCATCTGCTTTCTCATAAGCCTTTGCACTTTTTAAAGGCTATTTTAATTGAATAAGCAGATATAAAACACAAGATATTTAAAGGGCATATATAAGCTTACTAAACAATAACTCAATTTGTACTTTTGAAAGGGGGAAAACACATTTAAACGAACAGAAAGAAATACCGAGGTAAGTGTACTTGACCTGCCTTCAAGGACACTCAGAAAATGAAAGTTTCTTTTGCTGTGTTCAGAATCAGTCACTCAGATGAGTGTCCCTGTGCCAAGAAACAGACTCTGTCTACCACTTTATCTGACCTTAAGGATGGGAGTCCCAGAAAACTCTGGCTGTTGCCCTTTTACACTTTAGTCTAAAACATGTTTATTTTTGCTGTACCTCCTGGGTTCAGGGTGTGATCTAAGATCCTGTGCAAGCACCTCTGATGTTGCCCTCTTTCCCTACTGTTCTGTTTAGCACACAGATCTGGCCCAGTACATGTCTCAGCATCCCGGAGGCCTTCATCCTCACAATGTCAGGGTGAGTGCTTTGAGAGTCAGGCTCTCCTCTCTGCCTGTCCACAGAGAAGCTTCTGGAAACAGACAGCAGTTACAGTGCAAAGTCTGTGGTGCAATAATAGACCAGATGTGATCATTAAGCCTAATCTCAATGCTCTGAGACTGAGGCAAAGGATTATTGTGAGTTCAAGACCAGCGTGGTCTACAAGTGAGTTCTAGGTTACCTAGGCTACCATGTGAGAGCCTGTCTCACAACAACAGCTAAGCAAACCAAAAGAAGATGGACATCATGAACACTCCAGCAAAAATAACTGTTCCTCAAGAAACAAAGATGTGGAGCTGGGCAGCCTAACCCAACGGTGTCTTTGTATGTATGGACCAATTAAATATAAGTATACCAAAGGGAGAGGAGTGAAGCGAGGCCAACATAAAATGGACCTTTATCATGACAGGCTGCTGTGGCCAACCTGTGCTATATAGCGAGATCTAGAAATATAGTCTCCTCACCACAGAAGGAAGGAAGGAAGGAAGGAAGAAAGAAGGGAAGGAAGAAAGAAAGAGAGAAAGAAAGAGGGCTGGGGGGGTCAGAAAGGGAGGAGGGAGAAAGAAAAGTAGACAAGGGAAAAGAAAAGAAAAAAAGAACATGTAGTAGTGTCAAGGACCCTCATGAGGACAAAACATATTAAATGGCATGACTATGTTTTGTGGGGTTTTTATAATTGTTGTTTTAAATGATTTATTATTATTATTATTATTATCATTATTATTTTGGTTTTTAAGACAGGGTTTCCCTGTGTGGCTTTGGAGCCTGTCCTGAAACTAGCTCTTGTAAACCAGGCTTCTTAAGTGCTGGGATTAAAGGCATGCAACACTTCCACCCAATTCAGATTTGTTATTTTCGAAATTGTACTTATGTGTATACATGAGTACAATTGCCTACAGAAGCCAAAAAAGGGAATTTGATCCCCTGGCCTTGGAATTACAGATGGTTGGAAGCTGCTGTGTGGGAGCTGGGAACCCAACTTTTGTCGTCTGCAAGAGCAGTCAGTGATCACAACCCTGAGCCACCTCTGGGCCACACCACCTTCCCTTCTTAAATGGTGGTATTAACAATCCCAGTGGAAGAGTGGAGAAAGCAGGCGTTTCAGTTGATTCAGATGTGAGTTCTACCAGACACGTGGGAAGAGCAGACAGCGGCACAGGGTGTGGAAGGAACTGACAACAGAAGTCAAAGCGATGGCATTGGCTTCTAGACTGGGTCCAGCCTCGGCCACTGTGTGCCGATAAGCAGGATGCTAAGGGGAGTATGGACTGCTAAACGACACAGAGAGGTTGATTAAATAGAACACTTGGAGGAAAACCAACTTCAAAACTCAAGTAACGCACATACCGGATTGTGAAATGCTGAGAAGGATAAAGACACAGAAGACACAATTCCTGCCCTCAGATACTATTACGTTGTTGTTTTAATATGCTTTGCAAGGGGCTGGAAACATGGCTCAGTGGTTAAAAGCACTTACTGCTCTTGCAGAGGACCTGGGTTTGGTTCCTAGCACTCACATAGCGGCTCATAACCATCTGTAATCCAGTTCTACAGGGCCTACCATCCACTTCTGGACTCTGTGGGTATTGCAAAACATTCATACACATAAAATAAAGATTAAAAAATAAATGTTTAATAAGAAAGTAAGGCCTGGTCCTGTAGCTATGCAAAGAAGTAAGTGTTTTCTTGTTTGTGTAATTATTCTATTACAGTTTGTGTGTTAATTTTGTGTGTGGTGGTGGTGGTAGGAATACATGCAGGCCATGGCACAGGTGTGGAGGTCGGAGGACAACTTGTGGGAGTCAGTTTTCTCCTTTTACCAAGTGAGTCGTGGGAAATGGACTCAGATCACCAGGCTTAGCAGCAAGTTTCTTACTGTGGAGTGGAGTTGGGGCAGGGGAAATTTAATATACAAAATATATTGTGTGAAAAACATTTAGAAGGAAGCAGAGGCTGGAGTAAGAAATCCCAGCTGGAAACCTCCTGTGTGCACTAGCCCAGTGCTTGTCAAACCCAGCGAGGAGATGGATGGCTGGGATTTGGTTCAGTACATCCAGGATTAAGCTTGGGTAGGTTTCTGGAATTATCCATAAGATGGGCTTCTGGAATTATCCTTGGTGTCGCAGAGGTGCTGGGAGGACCATAGTGGCAGGGATCCAGATAAGAATCTCCAAGCCCTAAAGTATGGTAGTGATGCAGGATTGGAAAGGGATGTGGCACACAGTAAGGAGAGCTCGGGGAGGGTTTGGTGACCAGCTGGGCATGAAGAGGAAAGGGGACAGGGAGGCAAACACGATGGATTTTGAGCTTTATTAACCAGAAGATGAATTGACCAAAATGGGAGAAGTTGAACTGGGGAGGAAGCAGCAACTACTTGGGGTGGACTGCGTGCCGGGAAATGAGAGGTAGGCAGGTGAGGGAGTAGGTTGAAGAGGGAGGACAGGAGCTGTAAGAGGTCTTAGGGCCACCGGCACATGGGGTTTGGAGTAAAGATTGAGATCAGATAATTGAGTGAGCACAGAAAAAAGGACTCGTGGTAGGATTCTTGTGCTTAGGGCTAAGAGAAGGAGTATGTAGCGATTTCAAAGAGGACACAGCCAAGCGCATCACAACTGTTGGAGGTGGTGCAGTTGGAGACATAGCAGCACGGCTAGCTCCCATCTTTTGGGGACTGCCTCTTGGGTGAAACTAGGTCCTTGGCCTTGCCACAGAAAAGAATTTCAGATTGAACCGACATGAGGCAGTGTTAGAGCTTATTGAAAGATGTGTGTTTGTGTGCGCGTGCGCGTGCGCGCGTGCGTGCGTGCGTGTGTGTGTGTGTGTGTGTGTGTGTGTGTGTGTGTGTGTGTGTGTTTCAGACACAGTTTCTCTTTGTGTAGTATGTAGCCCTGGCTACCCTGGAATTTGCTCTGTAGATCAGGCTAGGCTCAGACCCAGAGATCCACCTGTTTCTACCTCCTGAGTTCTGGGATTAAAGGCGTACACCACCACCGCCCACCTATATAGGATTTTAAAAGCTCTATCTCCATTCTCTCTTATGATAACTGAGATGATAAATGGCTCTAGAGGCATGTTGAACAGTATTACAATTTTATGAGATAAAACCAGGAGCCACTAACGTTTCCAACATGATTGGGGTATATCCTTCCACTGTAAGTGAACTTTCTGGTGACATTTGTAGATAATTTCAGGTATACAGTTGGATAGAGAAAAAGACTGTAAGAAAATCTTAATTGTGCTGGAACTCATGACTTCCAGTCAACAAGAGGTTTCAATCAAACTCTAAGTTGAGGGCTCCTATCTCTGCTCATATCCCCATAATCGTCCCTTTGTATCCTGCATCAACAAACACCATGAATACCATTTAAAAGTATATTCTTGACTGCAAAGACATTGTAAATGTATTAGCAGTCCATTAATTAGCAGAAGAATTTATGGGTGGGTAGTTTCCTATGAAGGCAAAATATCATCCAGTCTAAGGTAGGGGCAGGAATGGACTCCCCAGGAGGAGGCAGCTGTGAAAGTATTAGGGTGATGGGAAAGGTACCCCCAAACGGAAGCTAATCAGTAAATACTCACTACGTAATTCATGGAATTAGAAGCAGTTAAAGGTGTAATAAAATAGGACCCACAGCATGAGAGTTCTACTGTGTGGTGCTACTCCATAAGGGACTTACCAGATTCTTTTATTTATTTGTTTGTTTATTTACTTACTTTGTTAGCATACAAAATAAAGGACTCCACTGTGACATCTTCATAAGTATATTGGTGTCATGTAATGGCATTAGGCAAGGAGGGAACAACTCAATTTTTTTCTGTATAGTTCACTCTAATGACTATGTAGGAAGTGGATCAGAGGTGGAAATTTCTCTTTTGTGTGTGTGTTATATTCCCTTGACTTGACATTCACCTTCTATGTTGCCTCCAGCTCCCACGCTGGAAATCCTCTTTCTCCACTGATTCTTAAATGCTGGCTTACAGCCTTGGCAGTGAACCTCGTTCAAGCAGCGGTGTACAGATGTGAGCTGATGCTGGGAAAGTGCTGGTCTGTGATCAATTAGCCAAAATTGATGGGTGAAGGAAGAGTCAGCAGGAATACTTCTGGCTTTGAGTAACAAGACGGATGGTTGTGAGGGAGTAACAGGAAGAAAATGGATTTTGGATGGATACAGTGAATTACATTTCAGCCTGCTGAGTGAGGGCTTTATGGGATGTTTAAGTGAACTTCAGACTATGTGAGTCTAAAAGTCAAAAAGGATATTTGTAGGCTGGGGAGATGATTTAGTAGGTAAAGTACTTGCTGAAGAGGCACAAGGCTCTCAGTCCAGATGCCTAGCAGCCACTTCAAAGCCAGTGATGGTGGTATGCATCTGTAACCTCAGTGCTGGGGAACTGGAGACAAGTGAGTCCTTGGGGCTTGCTGGCCAGCTGCTCTAGCCAAAACAGTGAGCTTCAGGTTCAGTGAGAGGCTTTGTCTCAAAAAATAAAGTGGAGGGGCTGGTGGGATGGCTCAGGGGGTAAAAACACTTGGCACCCAAGCTGAGGACCTGAGTTTGATCCTGACACCCACCGTGGAGGAGAGAACAGACTCCTGAGGGTTGTATTCTAAAAGGCACAGGTTCATCTGCACATACACACGCTTGCACATGCACTCACACAGACATACATGCTGTAGAAAATCCTTTCGTACACTGTGAAGAGTTGTCACCGTGATCCGTTTAATAAACAAGCTGACTGGCCAATAGCTGAACAGGATAAAGTTAGGCAGAAAAGCCAAACTGAGAATGATGGAATGAAGAACAGCAAAGTCAGAGGAGACAAGCCAGACAGAGTGTTGGCTTTACGGACGCTGTAACGATACGCGACACACAGTTACTGAAAGGGAAGCTAAGTATTTAATTTAGAAAATTACTCACACGATACCAAACCCCGAGAAGCCCAGCAGATCTCAGCTAGCGACTGGACCGGAAGCCGAACTC